CCCCACCTAAATCATCCCAGCCAGGGCTTTGTCAAGCCTGACCATAAAACCTCTAAGGAAGGAGATTCCACCACCTCCCTAGGTAACCCATTCCAGTGCTTCACTACCCTCATAGTGAAAAAGGTTTTCCTAATATCCAACCTAGACCTCCCCCACTGCAACTTGAGACCATTGCTCCTTGTTCTGTCATCTGGTACCACTGAGAACAGTCTAGATCCATCCTCTTTGGAACCCCCTTTCAGGTAGCTGAAAGCAGCTATCAAATCCCCCCTCGTTCTTCTCTTCTGCAGACTAAACAATCCCAGTTCCCTCAGCCTCTCCTCATAAGTCATGTGCTCCAGCCCCCTAATCATTTTGTTGCCCTCCGCTGGACTCTTTCCAATTTTTCCACATCCTTCCTGTAGTGTGGGGCCCAAAACTGGACACAGTACTCCAGATGAGGCCTCACCAATGTCGAATAGAGGGGAATGATCACGTCCCTCGATCTGCTGGCAATGCCCCTACTTAGACAGCCCAAAATGCCGTTAGCCTTCTTGGCAACAAGGGCACACTGTTGACTCATATCCAGCTTCTCGTCCACCGTAACCCCTAGGTCTTTTTCTGCAGAACTGCTACCTAGCCACTCGGTCCCTAGTCTGTAGCAGTGCATAGGATTCTTCCGTCCTAACTGCAGGACTCCGCACTTGTCCTTGTTGAACCTCATCAGGTTTCTTTTGGCCCAATCCTCTAATTTGTCTAGGTCCCTCTGTATCCTATCCCTACCCTCCAGCGTATCTACCACTCCTCCCAGTTTAGTGTCATCTGCAAACTTGCTGAGAGTGCAGTCCACACCATCCTCCAGATCGTTAATGAATATATGACTATATAGGACTATAGTAAATGAAACGATGGATTCACACTCCTGGGGCTCTTTTGGGGAATGTTGGTCGCTAATTTGGCTCCTGAACCACTGAGGTCTGAGTATCACTGGTCTGGACAATACTTAGTCCTGCCTCAGTGCAGGGGATGGGGCCAGATGACCAATCATGGTCCCTTCCAGTCTTACATGTCCATGACTGTAGTCTGACCTCCTCTATAGCACAAGCCAGAGAACTTCCCCAAAATAATTCCTAGAGCAGCTCTTTTAAAAAAGCATCCAATCCGGACTGCAGTATTGCCAGCGCTGGAGAACCCACCACAGCCCTTGATGAATTGTTCCAGCAGGTAACTCCCCTCATCATTAAACAGGTCCAGTCTGGTTTTGTCTAGCTCCAGCTTCCAGCCACTGGATCGTGTTGTACTGTCTGTCTCTGCTAGACTGAAGAGCCCGTTGTTACCTGCTAGTTCCCCATGTAGGTACTTGGACGGGGATCAAGTCACCCCTTCACCTTCTCTTTGCGCTCCTGGAGTCTGTCACTATAAGGAATATCTTCTAATCCTTTATTAATTCTTGTGGCTCTTCTCTGAACCCCCCTCCAATTTATCACCAACATCCTTCTTGAATTGTGGGCACAGGATTCCAGCAGCGGCTGCACCAGTGCCCACAACACAGGTAAAATAACCGCTCAGCGCCTTCTTGAGATTCCTGTTTATGCATCCAAGGATCACGTTGGCGCTTTGGTC